GCGTGAAGGTCCATAAGACAGTTGATCATAAGAGTTTTTACTACAAGCAATCCATTACAGCTTATTCCTCGTCATATTTGCTGAGCTGTCCTAGAATGGTGTTCCACGACAGACACTTACAACAAGACGACGTTTGTCGGACCATTAGTCCCATAGTTATCATCCCACGGCTAACTCATCATGCATTGCCGTGACGCATGGGTCTACTCATGGAGCTTGGCGAGGCAAATATGGAGTTGGTTCGTTGGAGGGGATCGGGAACCGTCCGCATATCCCGTCACTTTGACGCAGGCTTTTAGCAAAACTGACAGCTGCAATCGGCATACATGCAAGCACAACTACGGTCGTGGGCATGATTTCGTTTATGTTGAAAGTAGAAGAAATTTTGTATACGCATTTGGCACACGTCAAACAGACGCAGTGGATACAACAAGCCCAGTCCTTGTATGTGGTCGGCTTTGGCTCATGACGACCACTTCATTACTCAACTGGCGACTGGGCACACAGCTCTACGGCTTAGCGCTTTAAAAGCTCACGTATATACCAGTGAAGTGAGGTTAGAATATTTAAAACTGCAGTCGTTTAACTGCATTGGAGCATCTGGAACTAAATCTTACAAAATTCTAACTTAACACCCAAATTCACTCTTGGAATTTTCCGTAAGCAAACAGTCTTGAACATACCATGAACAGTAATCCTGTCAAAAATGTTGACAAAAAAGCAAAAAAGATAGCGAGAAATGATCGTACAAAAAATAGGAGCAATTCCGTTAACAGTCACGAATACGTTGAGAGCACAGGTAGGTGGATGAGCAGAAGAATGTCTCAAACACATAGCGCACTGACGAGAACAACAGCTGCTGACGTCGCCGAGATGAAACGTCTGCCGCTCCCGGACACGCAATCATTCGCCTCGTGCTCTCCACCAGTGCTCACTAGTACTGCGATTTCTTTCCCACACAATAAAATTACTTTGCAAAGTGATATTAGTAACAGTAATAGTGATAACAACAGTAACAATAACAACAGCAATAGTAACAGCAGTAGCAATAACACTTATTTGGATACTTGGATAGCCCGTCGTCACTGGCTGTGCGGGCCGCAGCATAATCTCCATTTATCGAAGATTTGCTGGTTAAGCCATTGTGGTTCTCTGGAGTCCTGAGGTCAGCCAGGCCAAAGTCTGCCCCAAGTCGTCGCTACCACAGGCAGTCGCAGACCTAGTGGATCAGAGGGAGGTTTGGCACCATGCGACTAGTTTGGTACCAAGAGGGTGACGGATCCTGACACTAGTTTACTCTTAGCTGGACTTCCTAATAGAAAAGCCGGACTAATTCTCAGCTTGAGAGACCCGGTCAGGGGAATGAATTCTCCCGCTGTACATCGCGGCCCGACACCCAGGAACACCTCTCAGCCGCGATGAGGCGGTAAACCGTCAGGAAAAATAACGATAGTAATAATAGTAATAAGATCAATAATAATGATGGCAATAATACTAATATAATAGGGCATGGGAAGCACAACGGTTAAAGGCACAGTTCAATAATACGCGCACGGTCAGTGGTTTGGCCCGTGCCGGAATAGCGAAGCCTCTCATCCCCGTAGATTCGGAATGGTGGCACCAGACTTGTATGGGAGCTCCTTCCGACCTACACATGCTGAAGGCTACCTATGGTGAAGAACTGAGAACACCCTAATACAGTTTCTCCAAAACTCTGTGAAGAATGGAATCGATCATCATTCAACGGCATTCGTAACGAAGACGAAAAAGCCCTCAACAGCTGCTCAACAGACACCTAATCCGAAGACCTTCTTGGATAAGAGTGTGAGGAAACGAAATGAGTGAAAAAAGTTCTGCAATCCGAACCACGTGTTTCTTACGTGAAATTTATGTGGCATCGTATTTCCGTAAATCACCCATTTGCCGTTTTTCTGAGCATTGCTGGAAAGTGATTGGTTTCTTCTCGTTCTTTTTTCCGCTCTTTTGTATCCACTCCGTCCTCGAATCGTCGGCATATGTCGGAACATTGGGTTGACTGTCTACGTAAACGGAAAAATACTAACATTGTTTTCTCACTAATGCATTCGAAAACAATGAACGTACTCTCTCCTACCCCTCAGAAGCATTCGGCTTTCTGGGGCATAGGTTAAACCAGGTAAAGTACCGAATTACAGAAGGCAGGAACACATACCTTAAACCAACGATATTTCTACAGCATCGAAGGCGCTTTTTTCAAGCTTGAGAAGGTAAGATGGGGTGGCATATTTTGTCCCGGTGATCCGCCAGTCATCTCGGCAATTATCTCGATTTTATGCACGCATTGGATGGAGTACTATTAACTGGGGACTTCACTGCACTCGCAAATATTGGACTTACTCGACTTAAACTGAACTCACTTTAAAACCCTCTTTGTCCTCATAATTTTCCTTCGTCTACTGCCTTGTCAGTCTTTTAGGTAGTGAGATTAACGACTCGGAAGCGAACAAACGATGGGTGTCAGTGTCACCCAGGTAGCTCTTTATATGAAAACAACACGATTAAATTTCCATTAACTTGTTACTCTGCATTTTGATAGACAACGAGTGAAAAGCCAAATCCGCGTATTGAATAGGAATTGAAGATGACTTATTCGGATGTTCGTGTTCAGAGACACAAGTAGGAGGGAATAATCCATCTACTAGATAAAATGCCGGATTCTGAAGGCAGTACCGTTGAAACACTATCCGTCCCTATCAAGATTGGAGTGGAATCCATGAATGATCTTCCATGAATGACCATGAATGACCTCGCTGCCCATTTGTTCCACCCCAATGTCGAAGTGTGCGAATCGGGTGCGAGACCACAACGTACTTTCCAGGTTTTATTCAGTACCTGACTTGTCTTTGAGGCAATAGTGACCTTGTTCCATCGCTAAACCATCGTAAATCATTTTACAGGAGAGATATGTGTTCAATCACCTCTGCGAATCATCTTGATGAAGTCGGGTACATGACTCAGCCCCCGCAGATTGATCAACACCAAACGTTTTATCACCACCCTTTTATTCCTCCCTGCAGAATTTTTCTAGATCCGTACAGAATGCTTCAATGTTCGCCGATGTTATAGCTTGATGTTGGAGATAAAACAGATCCACATCTTTCCAACTGTAAACGTCCGATTCGGTTCATTAAATATTAGTTGTTACACGAAATCTCTCGCGGAACTACTCGATAGAATAAGCAAGTTTGTCCAAAAAGTGATTTTTGCAAACCTTTATGTGCTTTTTTCTTTACAGCTTTTCAAGAGCTACACCTGACACAACGACAGTGTTGGAGAAGCTACTGACTGAATGCAGGAAGTATAGCAAAAAAGTCGAGTTCAACAATACATATGATCTGCTATGCCTGCTCATCGTCCCAACAATTTACCTCCTCACCGTGGCTGGGAGGTGTTCGTCGGTGTCGGGCTACAATGTACAGCGGGGGCATTCATCCCTCTAGCAGGGTCTTCCAAGCTGAGAAGGAATATGGCTTTTCTATCAGGAAGTCCAGCTAAGAGTAAACCAATACCAGGGTCCGTCACCGTGTCGTTATCAGATACTCGCATGGTGGCAAATCTCCCTCTGATCCAAAAGGATCGCGACTGTCTGTGGTGGTAATGACCTGAGGCAGACTTTGGCCTGGTTGACTTCGGGGCTCCAGGGAAGCACAGTGGCTGAACCAGCAAGACTACGAAAAAGTGGATATTATGCTGGAGCCCGCATTATAACCAGTGAGGACGGGCCATCCAAGTATACAAGTATAAAAGTGTCTGTTCGTGAAACATGATGCACAAAACTGGTTCTGCAAACGAGTGCTTCTGAAACACCTGTGCAGTGGATTTCAGCTTCGTAGGCAAGATTTGAAAATGTATCAGCCTCGATATTTTTCTTGTGTTTATCTCTGCAACAAATATGAATATGAGGCATTCTACATGAACCTACAGAAGTTATAAAAACGATCAGCCCTTCATCAACGACTTTGACGTTCAGATTACCCTTGAGAGAACGTTTAACGAACTTCACCTGTAGTTACAAATTGAGATCTGAAATGAAGTCTTTTTTAAGTAGACAGCAGCGGTGACCGCACGAAGTCCATCTTCCTTTCAACCTCCAGCGCAACCAACGAACTTTAATGCCTCACCGCTGTTCGCGTTCGTAAGGAACACCCCATGCGGAAACTACTTATCCGTGGCTGCGACCAATCACTACGGCATTTGACGGACCTGTTAACTCAATACGGGACCATTGATGATCTGTTTAAGTTTCAAAAAATTAGAAAGATGGTTCGTGCAAAAGGTATTACAATGTTAGGAAAGAAACAGCGCACAAGTGTACAAGACAAGTAGACCAACATGACAGGAATCTATCTACATCTAGTTTCGGATATGCCCTGGAAAGCAAGACTTCGAATCACCTATCAATACTTTGTTTACACGAATTGACTCAACGAATCCTGGTACTTCCGTCATTCGGTTCCTTGTCTTCCATCAATCACCCACGAAGGTCGTTATAACTTATGCGTGAGTCCAGCTGTCACTTCAAGGCTCTCTTCTTCATTAATGCCATTGAATACCCGTCGAGTCCATTCTACGTATTAAACCCTGAGATAGCTGTATTAAGTCCTATCGAAGTTTTCGTCCCAACCAGTCACCGTATGTAGATCGGACATCTTACAGATGGTTCTACAACTAATTTGACCAACCTAGGGGAAGGCGCTTAATTAGCCAGTAAGGGTTCAAACCGTTAAGTACCTGTAGTGCGTGCAGTGCACGATGTCTCTAGGCATTAGTTTCTTTGCCACTCTGTCAATACAACATTGCATAAGGGAAAAACTTCTTACAAGAATAGATCTTTGTTAAGCGCAATTTTTATTTCAAGACGTACTGAAATTTTGCTACGAACAAATATCCGATAAGTAACAATTTGAATAGGAAATCAACAACTGTGATTAGAGATCAGAGAATTAGAGGTGTTTAATTCATCACTTCCTGGATTGAGCCGCTGCCTCTTTCCTGGATGCATCTTGCAGCAGTTGTGTGTCGACTCGGTCGGCAGGCAACTGAACATATCTGAAAATCACTATAAGAATCACAGAATAGAGACACCATTGAGAAAAAAGCATAGCTAAAAGTGATTCAATATGTAAAACAAAACAACATTATGTGGTCGTTCCATAGCATCTTGTCTCATTATCGATTAACTCCAGCAGGTGCCCGTAAGCTTCATTTGTCCCAACATTTTCTACTTCATACGACCTCCTTTCACCATCAACTGTGCGGATCCCTGCACTTCTTATATTCGATTAATATCCTCGCATCCATCGTCCACTAAGGGTCTTTCAACTTTTACGTGTGGCTTCGCCTACTGCTGAAGGACATTCATTTAAACGTGAACGTCGTAGAACGGTGGTCGAGTCGATTCTTCCTGGAGTCCTGAGATAGCCGAGCTAGACGGTTCCCAAGATTGCAGAGAGTGGTTTTCTTTTTCCCAGACAAGTCCGGTGCCAATTTCACGACCCCGGAGGTATGACAGGCTTGGCGAGCCTGGAGCGGGATGGGATCAGCACCGTGCTCGTGATGACGAGCACCGCTACCACTGTGCTCTCCGTTCACTCATTTGTCCCAGAGAACCAGAATTGCACACAACGCTCTGTTTATTGAAGGAACATAAAGAACAAGGTACTCTTAGTACAATGACACTTTTCACTGTTTATGACGACAAAGCATCCAGCTTGGTGAGTTCTGCTGTAGCGCAAGTTTACTCGTAACTAATCTTTCGGATGAAAACGTATGATTCACCAGTTCAAGTCATCCTTGTAAACTCCACTATACAGCAGTTGACAATTAGTACATCAAACTACCTTACCTTACAACAGAACCGCGAATAAAACAGTTCTTCACGGCATGCATTTGAGGAAACTTGTCAGGTTCCGATACAGAAATATCAGTCAGCTTCATATTGAGATACTGGTCCACCGAATGTAAAGTTCCACAAATACTAAAAAAGAAACAGCATGCAGAATCCCACTTCTACGCCAATGATATCCTTGGTGAATCTAAGTGTGTAAGAAATAGTACACCTTTCAAAAAAAAAGAAAAGGAAGAAAACAGCATCTCAAGACAGTAGAGCACAAATGAAATGCGTGGTCCACATACCTTAAATCGTTCTTCAGTTCTACAACCACATCTTGACCAACAAGTGACTTAAAGAAAGAAAAAAACAGCTGAAACCATTCACTTTAAAACAAAAATCTAACAGACTGCAGAAAAATGATGTCGGCCGTTCACATACCATTTCGAAAACTCAGCGTCCTCAATAACTCGAATATTCAAGACACTGAAAGCTACAACAACAATAAAAATATACTTTAAAACATCTATTTATAATAAACGAACCATAACAGAAAGCATCCACTGGAGACTGAAGTGACAGGATCGTATTCCAAGACGTGGAATATATTGTGATGAGTGTAGTTGCGGTCAAAGACATTCAACTTGTTGAGACAACTCATTCCCGTTGAGTCGTCAACCACATGCGACTATGATCAGCTGTTCTAAACTTCTTCATTGGAAGTCACGAAAAAGCGGCTCTGAAGAAGGCGATACTGCCGAAACGTCAGCTAGCGTTGTATTGTATTGTGTTTTTATGGAAGTAAATGTATGCTGTTTAAAAACCTCGCGATTGCTGAACAAGAAAACGACACATTCATATTCCAATGCCGAGGTTAAGAGAAAGTCGATCCTGGGAACTATTACAACTCATTCCCTTCAAATATTTTCCGCATACGTCTTCTATAAATACTTTCTAAGCTACGATGATGTGTTATTTGTTTCTAGACGGGCCATATATTGCCCTTATCTACGACAAGATGCCGTAGGGTATGCCACTCAAGGTTTCAGCCGTTCTGGATCGTGAGGCGGCCATATACCTTACTGGTGAAGTGATTACTGTTAAGGTGGGACTTTTCAAGGATTTTTTACAACTTAGCTAGTAGTTTACATTATATTTTTTGTAATAGACGGCCTGTAAAACTGGAGAGTGAGGGACTTTTAAATCTATTCGAATTCGTCTAACTTTTACAGGTTTTGTTACTGGCGAAGGGCGAGTAGGTTCTCTTGGATACATACTTAGACGGCCCGTTTTCACTGGTTGTTTGGGCCTTGCATAATCTATGTTTTTTCCGAATTTTTCTGGTTTAGTCATTATGGTTCCCTGGAGTCCCGAGGTCAGCCAGGCCAGTCTGCCCCACGTCGTCACCACACGCAGTCGCCGCCCTTGTGAATCAGGGTGATTTGCCAACATGCGACTAGGTTGTTACCAGGTCGGTGACGTATCCTGGTATTGGTTTATTCTTAGCTGGGCTTCCTGATGGAAACGCCAAACTCAGCTTGGGAGGCCCTACTGAGGAGATGAATCCTCCTGCTGTACATCGCAGCCCCACACCCAGGAATATCTCTCAGCTATGATGAGGCGGTAAACCGTTGAGTGGACAAATGAGTCTAGAGTCTATAAATGGTAGTTTGTTGCAACAGTGCTTCTCATAAAACCAAACATTGTTCTCCATTATATGCTTTTCTAATTACTGCCTATTATTGTTTCATGGCAGTGTGTTATGTGAAGTACAATCACAACGACGCCGAAATATTTGCGGACCTCAGACCCCAAGCCATAATCAAGGCAAAGCGGGGACCTCGGCTGGTGTGATAGCACACGAGCGGCCGAAAGAGCTAACCGCGGGTTCGAATCTGGCCTGGGGTCTGAATCTTGCAATTATTTCAGCATCATTGTAGCTGTATTCCTCGTTATCTGGACAGTCGATATACACGTCTTACTTTCGAATTCGTGGTTGTTTCAGGTGACGTTAAAGAATGTATCATCAAAGGGACGTGAGTCGCTGGCTTGGGGAAGTGTGCAACTTACATGTGGTAGTCATTTTAGCTTCTGATTAAAAGGTCCATCACGTTTTTGAACTTCATTGCCAGAACGAACGATGGGAGCGCAGGTGGCGTTTCGCGATCGACCCACAACTGCGATTTCTCGAAGTGCCTCTACCGTTTATTCGTCTGTGCCGAATGTGTTGTTTTGTGATGTTGAGCTAAACCATGGTGAAACTCGACAATTCTCCTGCGAGGTACCGGTAGATTATAGCTTATTCGCAAATCTTAGCACTTATTTATATGTTCTTGAACTGATCTTGTTGAGCTGATGGTGGGTTAGTGCAATTGTTGCCGTTGTTGTAGATGTTACTGTTGTTGTTGTTGGTCGATGGCTCACCTTTCACTTGTAAGAGCACGGCTCTGAGGAGAACGAAATCGCCGAAACGTAAGCCATCGACTAACAACAACAATAACAACAACAACAACGACAGCTGTACCAACCTCGCATCAACTCAACAAGATAACTTCAGGCGAACATATAAATAAACATATTGATTATTTATGCCGAAGTTTGTAGAAAGTCGGTCTTTTGAATCCTAGCATTGTTATGTCCTTATGAAAACCAGTTCTACAGATATCGCTGCCTACGCATGACTTGCCACCGTCGTTTCGTGGTCACTTGGTGAAGTACATCAATCGCATTACTGTCGCAGTACAGCATGTTCGTGATCCGATTAAGCTCATGCATATACCAGTAAGGTGAGGCTAATACTTCGATCGAAGGCTTACGTTCGTATATAGTAAACGGAAGCTGAAATGTCACTTTTCATTTACTGCCTATTCTTTTTTAATGGCAGGGTATTATGTGAAATATAACCATGATGATGCTGAGATATTTGCAAAACTCCGAACAGCTGGTGTCTGTGGTGAGAACCGAACACGCTAATTACTCTTCCCGTGGCCTAACGTGTGCACTACCACACCATTCTAGTCCTTTTCGCCTCTCTCTCTCACACACACACACCCGTATTATTAAAAATTTAAAATCTTATTAAATCTGGCATATCCAACTTCAAAAAGAAAAATACAGCTCGGGGCTCTACCTTTTATGGTAAGTACGCTGATTCATGGTTTAGAAACTTAACTGTCACCTTCAAGCATATCCATTACGCATATACTCTTTCAAACTACGGAAATTGAATGAGATTCTATAACTGTGCCACAAACCACTTTATCGTAGATTGTTTGAAAATGAGCTTTAGAATCATTCCGTCAGTTGGTATTGACGAAAATCTGCGACTGGACCAAAATCCGTTCTTAATGGAAACTATGCTACCTGCAACTGTCTGTCAGGTTTGTCGGTTCTTTCTCTTCTATGGAACCATGAAATTTAACGTTTTTACTAATGAAGGTCTGTATTTCGGTGAATTGTATGTTTACTGTTTTATTTCGAAGACATATAATCTCTCCATATTTGATTCGCATACGCAACAATTTTAGACAACTACAATAATGCTGAGGTATTTGCAAAACTTCGAACCACAGGTGTCAGCGCTGAGGATCGAACAGGCTATGGGGGGACCATTTACGGGGATAACGTGGTTCACCGGCACACCATGCGATTCCTTCGTTTCGCAATGTTAACATTGTACTTTTAGACAGTTATGGCGACCGTTGATGAGATTACCGCCCCGAAGCGGCCATACATGTTCAGCATGAGGAATGCACATGGCAAGGTCGCCAATATGACACTATTTAAGAAAACGTTTCGGTTGGGAGAGGATGTTTTAGGAACACTTGGCTTTGAAGGTAATATCTCAATTAGAGCTTGCTTAGTTTGGCAAAAATCATCTCTTAAGATTCTGAGGTACCGTGCGTTCAGTACTCAGTACATCTGGAAACCACCGAACAACTCACAGAAGACATTGTCGGAGAGCATGGCGAAATGCGAGCCGAAGGAATGGTGTGTATACAATCTTGCTTGGAACTGTAAATGTGCTCATCTCTATTTTTGTTGAAGAATCCCCTTTTCAGTAGGCTTGAAATTTATTTCAATTTCATTATGCGCTACGAAATTGTATTTAATTGAAGATGAACACTGCGGTCCACTCGAATGACTACGTTGTGTGTGCTTTTGCATCAGACAGTTCTTTTCGCCTATCTATCCCGATGCATGCACCACCAACATTTCACACTGACACTGGTGTGTTTCTATAGGCTTGAAAGTCTTAAAGGCCTTATTGAGACATCACTCCGTGTCGTAATTGCGCTTCATACTCTTAACCAACCAGTATTTCCGTTTAGTCCACCTGAAGTGGAGGTTGCGGTTCGAATTCGTCACCTCAGCGCCTCTTATTAATGTGGTGTACGGAGAAGTTTGCAAGGCTCCTATAGGTAAGTTATTGTGACTCCAGTCAGTGGCTCATTGGAAGAGCTTATTTCATTAATTTTCACATGTAAGGATTTACCTGGACATCCTCTACGAAAGGTTATATTTCCAGATGTTCCTATTGAGACGCTGACGTGGAAGGTGGATATATATGTTCTGCCATGCAGTCCACAAAATGCAGCTCTCACTGACTCATCTCACAGTGGCAGTGCATCTATGATATTATAGCATTCTGAGGAGTCACACGAAAAGCACTTAACCCATACAAACGAAATAAACCATTTATTTTAAAGGTATAGGATATGTAGACAACACTCAATAGCAATATATCAAGTAACAAATATTTGAAATCACAACGTAGTGATTGTCACCTTACAGTCGTTGAATGACGTGTAAACAATTGATCTGTCACTTATCATGGTTACTCCATATAGAAGTTGTTCTCCTGCCGTTTTGTTCGCCAGGGAAAGTTTTAAATTCTTGTCAAACAAAGCCCATCCGCCATACATACATGCAACAAGATAACTCCGTGCCTGGGCATGCGTACGTTCACAATTTTCAATGTGCCAAACACCACCGGCAGTCTGAAATCCAAGTATCATTACACTCCTGTTGCTATTGTTCCCTTTCGAGTACACGAGTTGGTACAAAGAAGTAATTATTAATGCGTTGAAAAAACACGGAAACAAGGGCTCAGACCATCCTGAGCCAATTCCATCCATAATTTACCTCCGAGACTTCTGTTGGTCCCCTGCCAAACCTTATGTCAAAGAGACGGATATGCTGGTCGTAGCTCCCCGTTAGAACTAACTGAAATTAATTTAGTCTTTGTATAAGCCGAAGCTTACAACTTATAGCGTCCTGTTGTCAGTAATCTTACGTGATCTCCTTCCCAACCACTAAATGTAACTCCTGCGCTGAATTCGCTATGTTGCTGAATGGCGGAATGATCACGGACGTCCCATATTTTGAGGGTTGCGTCCTCTCCACCAGTGCACACCAGATTACCGTTTGATGCACATGTCCACACCTGTAATTCGTCCACATCACTTATATTGGGACAATGACGCAGATATTCACTTGTGTTACCTTCTCGCGCCAAACGTATTGCAGCTGTGAAGGGCTACATTTAACTTTCCGCAAAATAATTGAAAAACACTAGAGACAGCTATGGTAAACCACAATGTTTCATTAAACATTATGCCGCCAAATAACGTTACTTCGCTGTTGGATTTTTTCCGAGACAAACTAGTATTGTTTGGGGAAACTCAGGAGCAATAGTATATGTGATCGTATGGTTTCAGGGTACTGGGTCTCTAAAAGAAATATGATGAAAAGACATGCTATATAAAATCCGTCGATTTATCGAATCCAATAGGCTACTCCACGGATCTCCCTCGTATGAGGCATCCGAGCCAGTTAGTCGCGATGCTACGTGGCACGTCCCCAGGTAAGGGGTTAATCGCGGACCAAAAACGACCTTTGCTTCCCTGAGACGAAGGTGGATCCAGGAGATGGACTCCCTGTTCCTGCTGCGCCCATTTGGCACATCTTTCTGTATTTGCTAGGCGCATTCATGCATGCGTGTGTGGGTGCGCTCTAGTTTATGCGGATTGTATTCTACGAGTCAATTTGGCCAAAAGTCTGCAATCAAGTGACTGGGAAGTATATGGGAGACGGTTAGGAGTCGCCTCCAACAAATAAGCTCCATGTCCACTCTGGGAGAGCCTAGCAAGCAACCTGTGAGTATACCTAAACCCCACGTTCAGAGCTCAGCAAGCTATACGTGGGTATCAAAAAGCTAAAAACAGTAAAAGGAACGGGTGTCATTCCCTTGACCCGAAAGAGCCTCCAATTCGGCAGCGTTGAGTAGGACGAGTACGGAGAGGCTGCTAAAATCTCAAGGCCAATGGAAGCTGCCTGTATCACTAGGAAATAAGGTGACGATCTGTACCTAAAATGCACGTACACTTTCATCCGAGACCTCGATAGTAGACTTGCTTATGCAAGAAAGAAGGATAAGCCACGACGTCATCGGTCTGGCCGACACTAGACAACGCCACCCTTTCAACACCGGAGAAAAACTGTTCCTCGGAACATGCGACAGTAGAGGAGTCGACGGCGTCGGCGTTCTCGTCAACACGAGTTTGTCATTGAACATTGATTCATTCGAACAACTAACAACCCGAATCGGACGTTTACGATTAAAAAGATGTGGATCAATTCCGGCTTTGACAACCCTCGTCGTTTACGAGCCGACATCAAACTATGACGAAGAAGTCGAAGCGCTGTATATGGACAAAACATGAAGTCCCAGAACCACCGTAAACTGCGACTTATTCAATTCACAAGTCGGCTGTTGGGAAGATGCCGTAACATAACATCGACGAAGAATCCGATCGGCTCATTCAACATCTTCACGTTAGCGCTATGAAAGCTGAGTTCGAAAGTCAACAAGAGACGTTTGTCTCCAGAAACACTCGAGTTAATACGCCAGCGTGGAATTGCACGAGCTGCAGGCAACCTCGAACTAACGTCCGAACTTGCAAAACAATGCAGACGCGATAAAAGAAGATCTTAAAGAGAGAACAGCAGCAGTAATCGTCGAAGCTGCAGAGGCCGGGAAAAGCACTCGCAAAGCCCACCGAAGCTTGGCCGATTACAAGACTAAGTTGATTGCAATCCGGCGCCCAGACGGAACAGTTACAGCGTCCAGAGAGACAATGGAGAAAATCATCCACGAATATTACTTAGATCTCTTCGATACCCACGTCAACCTTCCGTCATATGAAATAAAGGAGGATGGACACATTGTACCACCGGTTCTCCCTTCCGAAATCTGACATGCTATTTCGTCGGTGGAAAATCGAACAGTACCAGGTCCGGTCAGGATAAACCAGAACACCTGAAGAACCTTCCGCCAGTCCTCGTAAACACACTGGCCAAGTTTTTACACGTTACTTGTCTCAATGCAAAGTTTCTACTCAGTAGAAGAACAACAAGACCGTGTTGCAAGAAGGGTGACCTACACGGTATCGGCAACTGTCGCCCAATCTGCTTACTGTTTGTCGTCTACAATATTTTCCTTCGAGTCATCCTAAACAGGATTAACAGAACACTAGACGAAGGACAGCCATGTGAGCATGCAGGGTTTCGAAAAGGATTTGGTGCGATGGACCATATCCTCACGATAACAAGGCTCATTAAAGTATCGCGAGAGTACAAAAGATCGCTCTGTCTCACTTTCATCGATTTAAAAAAGACCTTTGGCTCAACTGAGACACAAGCAGTCTTGGAAGCCCTTGATAGTCAAGGTGTCTCTACTCAATACATAAAGATTTTTCGTAAGCTTTACAAAAAATTCACAACCAAAATATCACCATTCTGCAACGATATTAACACTGACGTCAAAAGGAGAGTTAGGCAAGGCGATACCATTTCGTCAAAATTATTTACCTCCACGTTCCAGAACGTAATTCGAACATTGTAACGGAATAATATGGGAGTATAAATCGATGGTCGGCAGTTATATCATCTTCGCTTTGTTGATGATATCGTCCTTATAACACCAAACATTAGCCAAGCGGAACGTATGCTTGACGACTTTGATAAAGGCTGTGGAAAGATTGGTCTTCGACGAAATCTCATAAAAACGATGTTCATGAAGAACGGATTGGTTTCGCATGCCCCATTCACGCTCAACGGAACAAATATTTCCGAATGCTACAGTTATATCTATCTAGGTCGGGAAATCAATATGATGAACGACCTAGCTCCTGAGCTGAGCAAAAGAAAACGAGCGGCTTGGGGAGCTTTCAAGAGCATCGAGGATATAGTGGAGAGAACAAAGAACACCCGACTTCGTGCCTACCTTTTCGACTCAACAGTACTTCCTGCCCTAATGTATGCGCCAGAAATCTGGTCGCTGCGTAAGCAGAATGAAAGGTCACTCAGCATTATCGAACGCGCAGTCGAAAGGACGATGCTAAGAGTACCCCGTTTCACACATGTAAGGGATGAGATCCGAAGCTCTGACCTGCGTCAACCATCGGAAATCAAAAATACCATCCTGTACGCCAAACAGTCGAAGATAAAGTGGGCCGGACACGTAATGCGTATGAACGACAACCGATGGACAACAGCCGTTAGTGACTGGATTCCTGAAGATGTCAAACACACTGCAGGAAGACCACCGACTGGATGGTCAGAGTTCTCCACGAAAAGCCTAGAAGAAAGATATCATGCTCAACGATTCGCTAGAGCGAGCAGAACCTACTGGGCTACTCTTGCACGCGACAGGGAAAAATGGAAGATTTAATGACGCCCGCTCGAGTCACTTGACAAACAACGGGATTACAGGTGCTACAGGTGAATAGGCTAATAAGCGATCAGTTTAATATAAAAATAAGGCAGAGATAAGCCGGAACAAGCGCTAAGCATAAGTTTTACATTATCTTATGCGTGATATATGGGTCATATTATTTGTTCAAACATCCTATTCTCAATGCTAAAGACATAGATAAAGGTATCACAAAGCGACAATACCACGAAGATGGATTAATTCTGCAAACCTCGCATCGGGCATCAGAGTAGGGCAATGAATGAGCCTTCCAGTCAGAGATCTTTTTTTCCGTGGCTAAATCGACGAGGTACGCAGAGCCAGTACTATCTGTGCATACTACATTATTCGACAACAACGGTGATGATACGTCAAGTAACAAATCCTCAGCGACATCAATAGAGTGGGAGAACGGCCGATCTAGAAAAATGATAGTTAGGCCACTTAGTGGAACCTCTTCAGAAATTATCACTAAGAATTGCGTAAATGTAAACGTCCTTAAAACTTAAATCCTAGAATGCTTGGTATTCATCATGCGGTGTACGTTACACTACTAGTTGAACGAAAGAGGCTTGATGTTAAAAGAAACACGGTTCTAACATATGCAAAGGTTACGAAGGGTCAACATTGAAGGACAAACGTAATCAGAAGATGGTTAACACATTCGTGGCAATGTTTAATTGTTCGTGGAGCACTAAGCAAAGAATTTCATAGATACTTGGAAAAGCCTCCCGTGGAACAGAAGTACCAGAAAACCTCCCCTCTACTGTTCGATGTTAAGCCATTTGCCGAAGTGTCCCGTTGAACAGGAGCATCAGAAACCCACCCACCCCCCCCC